TTTTTTTTTTTTTCTCAAATGTCTTTTATCTTATATTTCAAAGTCTGAGTCTCCACTTGTGATTTTGTACATCAATTTGTACTTCATAGGAAATTAGAGTTTATATTATATTATATTATATTATATGTGAGTCTATAGAGAGATCTGAATATAAATCATCATACCATGCCTTAATCATTAAGGTTCATTTGGTTTAGTTTTATTTTGTGTCTTGCTTGAGGTGATAATTAAAAATCTCTGTGGTTGGTCTTAAGATCTTGGCATTTTTGTTGCTTGTGTATCATTTATTGGAGTCATTCACTAAAAGATTTTAATAATATAAAAATATAAATTAAGTTTTCATAGTATAGCTGGTATAACATAAATGCCCCTCTGGGATGTTTTTGTTGACAGAAAAATCAAAGGAACTTTTGTATTGAATTGGTTTAGAGAGCCTACTTAAGCAAAGAAAAACAAAGAACTCCAACATATAAGAAACAGTTAGTCTGTCCCATTCACCGGCTGAGACCACCTCTTCTCAGCCCACTTCAATTTGCTTTGGTCGGCCAAAGTGCCATTGTGTTACCACCTCCCAGATTACTGAGTCCAAACTAAATTTGTTGTGTGTCAAGTTGACTTCAATGGAGGGAAAGTGCCCAGCTGTTAGAATATATAATTGATGTAACATAGAGGAAGGCTATATGTTAAATGTGTTTTTCTTACACACCAATTGAGACCTTTTAGTTAGGTTACTTGGAAAAGTTCCCCTCTACACTCTTCAATAACAGAATACTTTCTACAAAATATTGGATTTTTCTTGGATTTTTTTCATTGTAGCACAACTTCTGTTTCCAAAATGTTTCAAAATACCTTTCAAATTGTACAAAGGTCTATTGTAGTGTTGGAGCTTCCAAGATTTGCCGCTAGTTTATTCCAATGGGATTCCTTTCTTTGTGAAGGCCTGGGGCAGGGAGTACAGTGGAGTCTTGTATCGCCTCAGGCTGCCTAGACCAGCCACACTACTCTCCACAAACACATATTTACATATATATTTAAATAAGTGCTGATGCTGTTAAGCTGTTCCCTAGACACTTACACACCTCTGCCCTGTACAAATCGAATCATTTGTTTTGACCATTATATCCCTCCCCTCTTCTCTTTGTTCTTTTTCAAACACAGTTAGCTATGGTTGATTTGTATTCGGCCTAATGCCTGCAGCAGATGCTCCACAGGACACCTACAGTTCAAATGCTTTTCTAAGTAATTCTATCATCAGGTTTGAGATTGTTTTCACGTGATGAGACAAACATAACCCCACTGTTCTTTGTACGCTGCTGAATTTGAAATTTTTGTGAATAGCAGCGGCTGAGCAATGAAAGGGGAGAGTTGAGAGGGGAACTCTGTTGAATACCAATGAGGAAAAAGCCTGTGGAATACAGATGCTCGCGCCCACCTCACACAGTTCTCAGGGCCTGATGCTAAAAGCAACTGAGGTCAGCCTTTCAAAGTCAAGGTCGTGATCTGTTCAATTGTGCATCTCCAATAGTAAATCTGCAATAAAGTCAATGCTCTGAAGCACAGACCTGTACAGAAGGCAATGGGCCTTATCATGATATAGATGTAGAGTAGTATAGTACTTGTAAATATTTTTATACATATTTAGGCCTGTGCGCTACAACCAGATGTCAGCGATATTGGTTTAAAATTTGCTAAGCATGAATCAGCAGGTTTTGTAAACGTCATACTTTTACACAATCCTCCTGGGCCGTTCACATGAGCAGGCTAAATTTGGGGGAAAATATCTCAAGGAGTGGTGCAACAAATGTTATCTTTTTTTTGCCTCAAGCCATGGCAAAAATTCTGCAGACTTTTTTTTATATTTAAAATTTTTACAAATTGCTCCAATTTTCACATCTAAATCCACTTTCTACAGTATTACTCAAATATGGACTTGACCTGCGGTTCATTTGTAGATTCTTGCTGAGTTTTATTTAACAGTTTGCTCTCAAAAAGCAGTCATAGCATCTTTTCAGTAAAAAAAAATTATCATTTACTTTTTGCTGTTTCACAGTTGTATTGTACATAATGGAGGTCACTACATACAGTATATGCAGTAAAAAATATATACAAACTAGCAAAATAATCTCAGGTAGCCATGTTGTAATTTTGACACTGCAAGCATTAATTTCTAAATAATTAGTTTAGTCTTAACAATTGTCTTGTTGTGCCTGTGGGCAAGGATACTTAAGTGTTTAACATGGACAGATTAAAGAAACCTCAAGATGTCTATTAAATGTTTAATAAATGATCATCTTTTAGCCTTGGGCCATTGCTAGGCAGTCGTTTCAAAATGTGGTGAGTGTCAATGCTATGTTTACTTTCTAATAGCTAAGTGGAAGCACAGTTAGTCTTTTTTATTGTATAGCCTGCCCGCATGGCAGCTTTGAGCCTAATTAGTTCGAAGAAAACTTGTACTTTTTCACCCTCTCGTGGAATACAAATGCATTTTGTTGAAAAGTCACCGGGGTCGTTTCACTGACTCATTAAAACGGACCAGGAAGGAAAAATTAATGGCGCAAACACCTTCTGTTTAATGTGTGGGAGGGAAACAACACACACACTACCTTAGCTGTAGTAAATACTTTCACTTAATGTTCTGTGTACTTTGACTTTTGCAGTAGTTATGAAATAAAGGTGCAAAAGTATGTAGTGATGCATGACGTTGTGGTGAACAGTTGTCAACCTGCTGGGAAGCTCTTTGTATCGTACCGGCTGTTCAACCAAATTCAAAAATATTCTGGTTTGAATGACTAACAGACCTTGTCCAACCAAATGGCCTTTCTTTGGTTTGGCATAAAGAAGTACTGGTGGACCAGAACTTTCATTTCCATTAGAAAATGACTTTTACTATAGCTGCCCCCTCAAGACTAAATCTTCAAGCAACAATCCACTTGAAGAGCTGCCAGGGAACAAAGCATTTAACGTAATGGTAAAGTTACAAAAAAAGAGAATTTTGAAAAAGCTTTTTCATTTCAGGTTTCTTTTTAAAGAGGACATATTATGCCAAATCAATTTTAATGAGCGTTTAATCATAATGGTGATAATGGTTCTTACATGTTTGACTCATCCTGTATTGACTTGTATTCAAGGCTCGAGTACTCAGAAAATGTGTTTTTACCCATCTCCTTCTACAGCTATGTACTTACTTGAGAAATTCAAACTCTCGGTCAAACACAGATGTTCAAAAGTCTTGTATATAAAATAAAAACACAGTACACCTAAATGAAAAATCCACTGCCTGCTATGGTGAAATGCCACTGAGGATGTCAGGGCAGCAGCAGAAAATCACTTTCACAGTTTTGAACAGGAAGTCTTTCAACCATTTTCTATCAATAATTTTTGTTGTTGTTTTATTTTAGATTAATATTACTATTAACTAAATGTAAAATATCAATTTGTTCATATGGTTTATTTCTAAATACCCCCAAAAAGAACAATATGCCTTCTTCAGATGCTGTAGATGAGATTGTCATTTGTTAGGACCATGGTTCAGACTTTGATTCAGTCTTTTTGAGGTTGAGGAGTGACACGGTAGAACTCACTTAGGTGTGCACGTGGCTCAATTGTTGATTTGGTCCATAAATGTAATAATCAAAGAATGAGATTGGTTCATAAACCTGTCTGTCAATGCAATGCTATCGGCCACACACACCTGGAGCCTGCTTACCCCTTTTTCCGTCTGAAGGACATGTCGTAGTGGGTCTGTGTCGTCTGTGCCAATGTCTCTCCTCTTACTTGGTCTATACAGTTTTTATAATTTAATTTAATATTTATGCTGAAATTGTTACTAGCATTAGTATAGAGACAAACCTCCTTCAGCCTGTATAAACACTGAAATGCCGTTCAGTGTACTGTAGTATTCACTTCATTTATATAGTCTTTAACATCATTGCCAGTGATTATCCACCCACAACTCGCTGTATCCTGCGTGATCTTTTGCTAACACTATTAGTGACCGGAGGTAGCCAGGCACCGTCGTGCAGTCATCTCGCAGATTTCTGTACTGTACTTCCTTTCTGAAGTGCTATCTTAAACTTACTTTTCATAGACGTATAGTCAAGTTTTTCTCTTAGCCTAATAGAGAAAAGGTATTTCACCAAAGCATACTTTTAAATAGATTGTTTTTATATCTCTCGTATATGCCTGACATTGTTCAGTGTAATTATGTTGTTTTTATACCTGAAAGGTGAAATAAAAATTCAGATCATTTTCTCCAGTGACTGATGCCCTGTCATCTCCTCCAATGATAAATGTCTTTTTTATTACACAAATGCAGCAGAGGTATCTTGGTAATTAACTGTAATGAAAACATTTGCATAAAAGCTTGATTTTATCCTTAAGCTATATTTAAAATGAGCATGTTGGGCCGTTTTCTTTGACATTATTCTTTAGAGTATAATAAACCACCGTCTGCTTTCACCCACTCCTGTCTCCTCTCCTCAACATCTGCTGATTTATTGTGGCTTTTACAATCGACATTTTAGTCTCTGAGATGTTTGTTTATTTCACTGTTTCTTACCTTTTCTCAGCAAGTCCTTTTCATGAAAAAGTTTGTGGCTAGTCTTTGAAATGTCACAAAAATAATATGCAAATTAGATGTTTCTGTCCCTCCAACAACCACGTCAATAAATCAACAAAAAAAAAGCATCCATTAGTTTGCGTATGAGTTATTCTTAAATATGTATAGTAGTTGCTATGAAATTAAACAATTTTCTATTTCACTGTTAAATATATTAAAATGCAAATACGAAAAATGTATTTTGATAAACTAACAATTTGTACTTCAATCGAAAATCAGCCTCAGCTTATTTTTAGCAACACTGATTGGGTTTTAATGGCCACGCTTCATTTTATCTGATTTTACAATTGACTATTTTTGACATTTAAATTTCTCAAAAAAACAGACAATAAAATAAACGTAGTGTCCCTGGCTGTGCTCTCACTCTGTTTTCTTTTCACAGGGACTCATGATCCTTCTGCAGAACCTTCCCACAATGCACTGGGGCAACGAGGAGGTCAGCGTCCTATTGGCCGAAGCCTACAGGTTGAAATTTGCCTTTGCAGATGCCCCCAACCACTACAAGAGATGATAGGTCGTTTGCACCCATCTCCTCAGACTTCCTCCTGTTTTACTCCCCGTATGTTGAATACTGGAAGGACCGCTTCTTCATCGTCAACATCCTTTCTGCGATGGGCCTTTGAGATTTGAATCAACCAATGACTGCGAAGGACAAGTTTAGCATCTTTTTAAATTATAGCTCCAATCAGCTTTGGCGTATAGACTTGAACTTAATGTGGGAGATGCGTAAGCTAGCACCTCTTTGGTACAACCTTAGGCCTAATGCAGGACTGCAGCATGACATCGCCCGGGGATGCTGTCACGCTCTGAGAAAATGCTCCTTCCATGGTAATACATTGTTTTCCCCTTTCCCTCCGGAGGCAAAAATCTGACCTTTTTTCAGTTCAGAAAGACAAAGCACGAAGGCAAAAGGGCAAAGCTCCAGATGGTTTACATATCTGAGCTCTCCTGGTGACCACCGGAGGGAACGCCAATATTGTGCTAATTTTTTTCTGTTTTTATTTAACTTAACATGTTTTTTTTGCTTCGTGAACAAACGTGATCAGGATGTCTAAGATGCAACGTCAAGTCAGGGACTTTTTTTTTTGCTATGTTTTACAGTTAACGTTTAGATGTTCAAATGTAAAGCCAGGTCCAGTCAGTAATAATGTAGTCTTTTGTAAGATAACACCCAATCACTACTTGCCTGTGCCTTCATTTAGGCAAACTATCAGATTGTATTTTTAAACTGATGTTGATTGGTTTTCTGTCTGTTCAATTGCATTCACAGGAAATTCAAATTATCATTTTGAGCTGCTTTGCTATTACCATCTTATTTATCCAATATTATCATATATTTTACACAATCAACATGTGGATAAAAAAAATAATAATAGATTTGATGAATTTGGTAAATGAGGTATTGTTTGATTAAGTTCAAGTGGCTGGTGTAATTGGTAGCCACATGCTTTAATTAAGACACTGTACCACAAGACGGCCCAACCGTTGATTTAGTATGACTCATGCGAGAGGCTCACATCCTCTTCAAGTACTTAATTATACTGATTTGCTTTCTCCTAATACTTGTTTCTTAAAATAAAATAATTGGTCTGAAAAGCAGTTATAATATATAATGTAACATCTAGCTTATATGAGTCATAAGACTGCAAAAAAACAACAACATAAAAAACAAGAAATCAGTTACTATATATACATATATGCTCTTTTGTTCCACTGGGGGAAAATTGTGTTCCAGGTATGAGCCATAGCTTAGTTTTAGGCCTGGATTAGTGGCGTAATGGCTTCTTGTTGTCCAGCTGACATAATTAAATTTTGCTATCTTCAAAAGCAGCCATTTTTACCACAAATTTGTAATCTGCTTATATTAGACAAATTTGGCACTACCATGGCAAAACAAATTTGATACACAAATCTATGACTACAAAGTAAACAAATGTCCTAGCAATTATAATTAAATCAATTGCTTGGAGGTTACCAGTTGCCCCTCATGGAACGAAAGCCCTTAATATTACCAACTCACCCTCCTCACCCCTAAAACCTTCAAAGTCCCATATTATGCTGAAAAATGTCATTTCTGTCCAAATTTACCAAGGAGTCGTGTGCATGTTTCAGTAATCCTGCTGAGGCCATGTTCTCAAGATATGAAAATGTGATATTTCAACAGTCTCTTCCCGTCCAAGTGCTTCTCATTCTAATCAAACTCATTCTCATTACCAAACTGCCCTGTGCCTTCACTAAAAACATCTCTGCTAGTTACAAACTTAAGTGTCACCATCTCCTCTCTTTACCTAATTTGAACTTCTTCACAATTTTACTTTTCTCCAAGTATTTCAGGTTGGATGAAATACAATTGCGAAAGCTCCAAATGATAGAAAAATAGAATAAAGCATAATATGGGAGCTTTTATGGTCATTTTTGGTTTTCAGGTAGACATTATCCACTCTTCAATCCTTAAGAAAATGTTTGCGCAGACTTCTGATAAATTATGATAAACTACTAACATTTAGAGTCTCTTGGCATCTGACTAATAACATTTTATTTAAGTTTACAAGCTCCGTGTTTCCCCATACACTCCAACAAGACGAAACTGTGCTCAATGAATGCCTTCTCTTTTGTACTTTCTTTTTATCAGCGTTTTAAAGATATGTGTTCACTTTTATTTTACGTTCTTTATGTGACAAGCCTATTGAGTTGTGCCTGACTTTGGAGACATAAGACACGCTGATTTAGTGTGACCTTAAATCAACCTGACAACAGTGACTCTAGAGTTTTATGTAGAAGAGAGGTGGTAGTTTTTTTTTGCACATTTAACTTGGAAAACACAGCACAAATGTTCTACTCAGCCCTTTGAACTACTGTTATCAAGAACAAAGAACAGAACTGAGTTGTTTTCATTGTGAGCAAGTGTCTAGAAAAATCTTTCAATTTAAATATTAACCAAATAATGATGATGAATTGAGTGTCCGAAAGTGTCATGAGCGTGGGTAGAAAACAGGGTATGTGTTTTTCTCTGCCAAAAACTATTGTGCTTTGGTGTCTACTCTGTATGAAACCATATGGAACTCAATAGTCCCACCCACCTTGAAGCTTATATACAGTATTTCCCATTCATTTTCTCCACAGACCTTTCCAAAACTTCAAATATTAAGAGTTTAAAAACATTTTTAGTCCAAAAAATGCAAAACTTAAAATTTGGCAAAATGTAATTAGTCCTCTAGCCAGGCTGGCGCGACCTAGTGCCTCTGCTCGATTTCATTTCTCTCCAACGATTAGATCAGGAATCAGGATGGCTCACAAAAACCACGGAAGTGCAAGTTCAGGCAACAGCCAATCAGCGAAGAGTCATATATTCAGTGTTGGCAACGATTCCAGAGATTGAGGATTTAAAGCTGGGATAAAGAGAATGTTTGGTGAATTTTATCAAGGGGAAAGACGTTATTGCCCTTCTTCCTACAGGATTTGGGAAAAGCTTAATATACCAGTTAGCCCTGTTAGCGGCCCATTACATACGTCACGACCAAATAGCAGCGATTGGTTAAATAATAAAAAGTACCCACCTACCGTCGAACAAAATCTAAGGCTGCGAGGTCAGACGGTTTGTACGAAGTGAAACTGGCTGATGAGTCAGGCTATTAGTCCTCAGCAAGCTTTAAAAATCTTAACATTATTTTTATTTTATTTGCATTTTTTTGTTTAGTTTTGTTTTTTCCATCAAAATGTCTGTGGGAAAAATGACTGGGAAACTTCTGTGACCCGAGAGGTTGGTGAGACTGTGGAGTTGCATGGAAACAGACATGAGAAGTTATTTCATAGGTAAAACATAAGGTCTGTATTTGTACCTATGAAGGAAAGAAAATCAGAAAACCACTGTCTCCCAAAGTTGAGTTGCCTTATTGAACACATTATTATTACAGTGTCTCAAAGAGTAAGCAGACATGCCTAGGTAGAGAGACAATTACCGCTGCAGGCTGACAACTTCTGTATTAGCTGTCAATGTGTGTATGCCTAGCAAAGACATCTATCCAGACAGCCAAATGGGGTTTCAAACAGGCCTAAAACGAAATCATTTTTTGCAATATCCAAAATGGGTGTTAGTGGTGAAAATGTTATTGTGCTTGGCAGTGGCATGCAACTCCTGATTTCTAAACGTTTCTCTAGTGTTGCTACAGTGTGACATCAGTTCCAAAATTAAAATGGCGACCCATTTTTGTATTTTAAAAAAATATATTTTTACGCAAGATGTGCTTTAATAAACAAACACAGAGCATTTATGAGCGAGAACCCCATCTCTGCGCTGTCGTCCGTCTCCGTGGCAGTGAAGACCTGAAAGCGTTTTGGCTGGAGCTTACTTCTGTGCTTTGCTCCTGTGCTTTGAAACTGCAACAAAAACACAAGCAACATCTCCGGGAGGTTAACCTGCAGTAACATTTTCAGCCACTGTACCCCATCTTTTTTTCTTTTTTTTTCTACAAACTTGAAAAATGTGGCTAGGATTGAAATAAGTCTGGGTTTGTGCTTGAGTGTGGGTGACAGGAGGTCCTTGAATTTAAAACATGTACAGAGAAGATTTTGAAATTGTAAATACAAAGTGTAAATAAATCCTATCTATGACAAACTAGAGCTCTTTTCCTGGTATTTTATAAGCTAGGTTCTTAATTTATTTCACACACCACTGATACAGTCCAAATGACAAGTTTTATATAGATTTTATCTACACTTTAATTAGCATCAGTAAAGCATGAACTAATACTTAAAGTCCTACATTAAGTGAAATTGACTCTTAAGCCATGTTAGAATGTTGTTACCTCCTCAAAAACATACCTGGAGCTGTGTTTTGTTTCTATTCACACATGTCTGAGTTTCCAAAGCTCAAAATCTTCTGTTCTATGCTATGTTAACAGCTACCATTTACCTTTTACTTAATAAAGATTGGCAATTCCAGGTTAAAAATGATCAGAAATCATTCTAGTGAAACCGTACAGAGTTTGTTTAAAAACACATTGGAGCACTTTCTATATTATAACATCACAAGTTGGAAGTGTTTGTGTGTTAAAGATGTGTGAATAAAACAAAACACAACTCCAGGTCAGTTTTTAATGAGGAAACAACATAACACATCAGAAAATGGCATAATACGGGACATTTAATTCATAATGAAGAAATACTTAATGAAGTATTATTCAGGCTCAGTAACTAAATTAGCTAATGCCTTACCCTAATCCCTTAAGTAGTTATTAAGCCTGAACTGTTCATAAATTATTTGTTAATTGTGAATTAAGTCTGCTTTGTTAAGGCTAATGAATGTGTAGTTGTTTTGGTAGAGGGGGATATCTTAAACAACTGCCTCATATTTGTCATTAATGGTAGCTTGTTCGGGGGGAATTTGCTTTATTTCCAGTAAAATATGGCTGCCCAAATACCATTAATCTTCAAATGTTCAGAGAGAAAAAAATCGTAAGGCACAACTTGATTCCTGATTCTGCTCAATTAAACTCATTCACTGACCAGCCTGTGTCTCTCCTTTACATTTGACTGCTAACTCCTTCATGTTCTATTATTAAACCTCAGAAGTACGTACTTGCTTCAAAATCATACTCACTTATGTTACCTATTCATATGTAATGAACACAATTACAGGACCTGTATAAATGCATTAGCAGCTAACAGTTGAGTTAATCAGTAGCCCACAGTATTGGTCAGGTTCACACACTTCACTTGTCATTTTCTTATGGAATATTTTTTCAAAGTGCATTTGCACAGATGCAGACACTGAAGTTGCTATGGTAACTATATATGGGACAAACTTTACTTTTCAACTCGATCATATTTTATTTTTGTTTTTTGAGAGAAAATGTTGGGGTCTACAAGCGTGAACAACTGTTATACTGTTCAACAAGAATAATGGATCAACTGTAATTCATTCCTAACCTAATCCCAAACTAGATTGTATGAATTTTGTATGAATTTTAATGAAGGCATTGGCATCTTAATTGTTTATTAAGTGTTTTATAATAATTTCTTGTAAGACACTACTCAAGTAGACAAGGTTTGGTATATGTGGTCAGTTAGGAGCCCACATCTGTGCACATGAAAACACCAACATTAGACTGGAGCTGGTGAAAAAATAACAATGGGAAGTACTTTGGAGATCAATGTTTTCCTTCACATATTGTTCCTGCCAACTGTGGGTTTCATACAACCTTGTGCTTTATACAGAATTATTAAAAGTGCTGTTCACCTGAACTGGATGAATTCCAATTCAGTAAACAATCTGAAACATGTGAATGCCTGAGGCATTAACAGGCTGGTAAATTCTAGAAAAGCTGTGCTGTCTGGATCATAAACTAGCTTCACAAACAGAAAATAATGTCAAGGAAGATCATTAGTTAGATTTAGTTTTTTAAACAGCTAAAAATGCAAGATGCACTGACAAAGTGCTCTGACATATTTATTGACTTCATAAGCTTTTCAAATTGCTGGCAGTGAGTTGAAAACCACACATCATCTCGCTGCAGGCAGGTGGGCAGTACAGAGAGCCTTTTGAGTTAGAAGCATTTTACATAAATATGACAGAGCCACAACACCTTTAAAAAGTCCTGGAACACAAAATTTTGGTCTACCACGGTGCATTGAGATGTTAATGAGGTTGCAGTAATAGAATTACTTGAATTTGCAGTAAAAAGTACTGCAAGATCCCTCATGGCCAACAAATTCTCTGAGGGTGGCATTTGGCCTCCGGGCCATAATTTGGACGTCCTCGATACAATTGATATAATGTATCTCACATGTCACCTCCAGTGAAGCGGGTGTGCAGTGGGATGTTACCTCTTTAAGTCTCTGTGAGCGTAGTTATCTTATACTGTATAAGATTATCATGATGAGCAGTCTGCAGGTACGAGGAGGTGGGGCTAATATAGACTGTGCTAACAGGAAGCCATAGGTTCACAAGCGTGGACCGCTCATACAGAGAGATACTAAGAACGTGGTGCACAGTCCATGAATACTGTTGCTCCCTTGTGTACATGATATATGTTTTTCTCACTGAGGTTTGAATTTAAATCTATTTCTTGGCCGCTAGAGTCCAATTTATCATTTTGTAATTGTGAACTTGTTGCAAGATAGAGACATTTTTAGTGCTGAAATATTCATGTTCATTTTCTGAAGTGTAAAATAGTAAAAGTGTCCTGTTCCCATTGGGGTTCAGCTTATTCTGGGTCTCTAAAGTGAACACGAGTCCTTTGAGGTTTTAATTCAAAGGTTTTAAGAAACACACTTTACTTGAACTTCTTTCTACAACAAAATCTACTTGTAATAGTTCTGCTAGAGTATTCTGACATGGTGCAAGTGTAGTTTTCAGTGAAGATTTGAATCAGCAACTTTTCACCTCACTTGGGTCTTTTTGACATGGCTCCCACTTCACCCCAAAGAAAATCTTTCATTAGTACTGATACAAATCATAGTGAAAGTGCCACAATGAGAGCCATCTGTTAGTTGTTACGATTCATTTATCAGATGGTTCATAGTGTTGACGGGCGATATGTTTTTGTTTTTTAATGTTCAAACTTTATTTAAGTGACATGTTTTAACATATTAAACATCCTATATTACACCAAATGGACTCTCGTGACCTTTTAGCCATGTTATACATTTGTTACTCATCAAAAACATACCCAGAGTTGTGTTTTCTTTCATTCACATATGTGTGAGTAACCCTTTATCAAGTTGGCATAGCTGTTAAATTATCTTTTGTTTAATAGAGAATTTAAATTCTAGGGCTGAAATTATCCAAATGATTCTAGTGAAGGTGTATGGAGTTTAAAAACACAGCACTTCCCGCATTAGCACATGACATCACAAGGTGGAACAGAGTGTTTCCTGTTGGAGAGAAGAACTCAGACTTGAGAGAAATATGCAGGGATTGTATGTGAATTAAACAAAACACTACTCCAGGTATGTTTTTGGTAAGGAAGCAACATTAGAACTTAGATAAAAAAATAGTGTAATATGGACTTTAATATGGACTTGACCTTCTTTCTACTAAAAGCTCTTAAAGGACGATCGTTTTGACCATGACACCCTCATCAGTAAAATGTCAAAAATGAGAAAAGTGGATGTCGAGTGCAGGATTTTCCAAGAAAAATTGACTTATTCCTATTTACGTACAAGTTAATGTTAAAATATTGTGTTGAAATTGCATTTAAAGTTTCAGGTTGTTCATGATATTATAATATTTTGTAAAAGAAAGAGTTAATGAATTTAAAAAAAAAGATTTCTGTAATAGATTTGCGTTTCTCTGCACAAATATTTGAACTTATTGCTATTTTTGGGGCATATATATGCCATGAATTTTCTGATCTGATCTGATTCTGAGTCCCTTTGGGATCAAAGTAGGTTGGATACGGCCCCCAGACCAAAATGAGTTTGACATGCCTTCTTTAAGATTTATTATGATGGTAGTTAAGTTTGCATGCTGTTACCTTGTACTTATGGACTGCGATATTGGGTCCTCTGTACACATTTCTATATTTACTGGAGTTATTGTTTATTGTGATACTGTGATAATGTTGTGGGAATTGAAACAGATAATGTCTTTATAATATAATTAAACAGAAGTTTATCTAATGCGTTCTACCTAAGTATTGTCTGGGAAAATGTTAATGTGACTGGGCCTAGCAATTAAATTCAAAATCAGCAGACAAGATAATGCAAAATGATGTTGATGTGTTTTATATGCTTGAGAAACCATTTTAATTTGCTTTGTTTTCCATCTTTTATTCATTCCAAGCTTATAAAATGCACTTAGATACAGAAGCAAAGCAGGAAACAAACGTGTGGTGTTGTGTACATTCCCAGATTATGTAAGAGTGCATGTGTTAGTGCGATAAAGTGCCAAGTCTCTGCTGTGAACGTAATGAGCACAGATCTGACACATGTCCACACCTGTAGAAGCTGCTCACTTCTCTATAACTCTCCTCTAATGAAACTTCTATTCTAAGTTTTCTATAGGACTTTCTTTCTCACAGGACTTAAGGAACTGATTATCTAACTTTTTTCTCAACAATAATAATGAATAGACTGAGTAAAAATCTCTGTTGTTTATCTTCAGGAAATGTATATTGAAAGCTATTTTTATGTGTAATATCATTAACTTTACTCTTGTGGTCAGATGTGCCACACATGTCTGGGAGGTGATGACACAATCCTTTTATTTTATTGTATTTATAATTTATTTTATTCTTTAATTATTTATGGCTAGTTTTAAAATTTCTCTGTAGATTTCACACAAAACATCTAAAACCTATTATAGCCACATTGACTTTTTCTAGGGCCCTATCCAAACATTGTTGCAAATATCTTGCAGCATATGTGGATGTATATAGGTGTATATCTGTGTGTGTATGTGTTGGTAAAAGTAAAGTCTCCAAGTTGCTGTGTAAGCTGAAAGGATGTGACTGGACCAACCTAAGCCAAAGTGGTGGTGATAAAGACTGAACAGTTAGAGACGGTGTAATTAACTGTGTGCGAGTGTGTCTCTACTGTACATGTGTGTTACTGCCACCCATGCCTTTAATATGGGCTTAACAAGTTCAATCCCACAGCTAGAGTCCACCACATACTTT